ACCTGACAGAAGACTACTAAAAAGTTATGAAGCACAAAGCCTTATTTTATAAAGGAAAAAGTTTTAAATAATCAACCCTGTGGTAGGCGTTCAGTTAAGACACCAGTTAGTATGTCTACATCCAAGATCAAAGCACTTGGTTTCAGTTTCCTCCTTTTTTATTTAAAAAAAAAAGTATTAATACATTAGACTCTAAGGTCACAGCAAATGCACGATAATTATACAATACAGTCCTCAATTATACAATAGTCCTCAACTATTCTCATGTTAATGTGATAATAACGCAAAAAGAACAGATTCAATGTAGTTCTGTAGAGTTCACAAATATGTCTAAGATTATAATGATACTTTCTTTGCTTCTTCCCTGCTTCTTCCTTTCTTTTTAAAAAACTTTTTGAGATATCATATTTAATGTATATTATAGTCAAAGCTTTAATATTCCACTGATAAATAGTTCAATCTGTAAAAAATCAATAAGACCCTAGTTCAGATACCTTCTAATGCATGTCCTGGAGTACATCAGGTGGCAGCTCAAGTACCTGGGTCCCTGTCACCAATGTGAGAGATCGGGATTAAATGTTTTGGCTCTTGGCTTTGGTCTGGCCGGCCCTAGCTGGCATGTGGGCACTGAATCAATGAGTAGAAGTTCTTTCTGTCTTTCACTGTCTATTTTTCCTCCCATATGAATGAAGAAGCAAATAACTATGAAGGTCAACTGAAATAGTGTTCAAAGAATGTTAGATTAAAACAACCAAGACACGACTTCCATCTAATTAAGTTTCAGCGTTGGCCAGTACAGGGAATTACAACTTCTGACACACGGCTGGTAGGACTGGCAAACCTGCAGTCTTTCTGGGAACAGTGAGCAGTTAAGTGTGAGAATTCCTAACGGGTTTGATAAGCAAAGTCATTACTAATACTTGAACCGAAGCAGTAAAGCATGACTGACAGACTAACCAACTTGTAGAACCGCAATCAGAGTTAACACTTGTTCCAAGAAGCTCCATTCCATATCAGTCTTTCTCCTTTGGACCTCAAAAGCTTGACAATGATTATGACGGCATTCATTATTTATTGCTCAGGAAATATACCATTTTTTTCTGTATCAAGATTTTGCTTAAAACACACACACTCACACAAAAGCATGTAAGCTGCTCAAGTGGCAGGACCCTACCATACTGCTGACCCTCAGCCCGAAGCACGGTACTGGGTGCTTCAAGAATAGCCATCGCGCTTAACTGCACTGGACAGCAAAAGCTTTGAATGTGTGTAAAACATGCATCACCACAATAGTTCCCTTAAGACGGTTATATATTTCTTCAAGCTGTGAGTCAATATGAACCCAGTTTTATTCCATGGTGGCTGATTTCAGGGAACGAGGGATAAATGTTACCAGTTAATCACAGGAAAATTGGCAGCAGCTTTCAAAAACAATCTCAAAAAGGAATGGAAATGCCCATGTTCATTATAGCATTATTCAGGATAGTCACGATACAAAACTCTCTAGGTATTAATCAGCAAATAAATGGAGAGAGAAATGACGATATACATATTTATATACAACCTGTGCATGTGGATTGGAAAGGTAATCAGTGTTTAAGAAGGAAAGTCTGCCCTTTGCAACGATATAAATGACCTTAAGAAGACATTATGCTAAGTGAAATAAGCTAAACACAGAAAAAAATATAAATTATGTCATCTTACAGAAGTAAAGCGTAGAAAGAACAGGGGTTACCAGTTTGGAGTTTAGGTTGGGGAATGTGATGTTACTCAAGGGTTATAAAATTCCACTTCGGCACAATGAATAAGTTCTAGAGAATCATACTAGGAAGCAATAATTAATAATACAAGATTATATACTTGAAATATGCCAAGATAGTAAGATTGAAAAGTTCTCACCACACAAATACACTGAAAACATTTTTTTAAAAAAAGAATAGCTAAACACTTACCATGTATTTTATAAACAAAAATTAAGAGAAATGGTAGTAAAATAACATCAAACTTACTTTGTAAAAAAAAATGAATAGTACTTTGTAACAAACATAACAGAAGAGACAGAAAAAAATTCAAATGGCTCACAGTGGTCAGCAGATAAACATGATCAGGTAATACCAAGTATCAGCACGGATTAAACAGCAAGAACATCTCAGACCAAGGCTGTGGTCAAGCCAAAGCCAACTGACAACCCAAGCAAGCCAGGGTAAGTGGGAGAACAGCCGCAAGAGTGTCACTGAGATTATTAAAGTCTTGACAATCAGAAAATGAACGGCATTATTCAACTTAAAGATATTGTGGTAGCTGCACAGCCTTTATCTCCTCACACAGGAAAGAAACAAGTTTAAAAACTGAGTCCCAGTCCCAGCGTGGTAGACTAGTGGCTAAAAAGTCCTTGCCTTGCACATGTTGATATCCCATATGGGTGCCGGTTTGTGTCCTGGCTGCTCCACTTCCCATCCAGCTCCCTGATTGTGACCTGGGAAGGCAGTGGAGGATGGCCCAGAGCCTTGGGACCCTGCACCTGTGTGGGTGTCACAGAAGAAGTGCCTGGCTTTGGGTCAGCTCAGTTCAGCCACTGTAGATACTTAGGGGAGTGAATCATTGGATGGAAGATCTTCCTCTCTGTCTCTCCTCTCTGTATATCTGACTTTCAAATCAAATTTAAAAAAAAAAAAAGGTCCAGCATCTCCCACTTACGTACAAGGAGGACTTCTAGACTATGGGGACATATGTTATCTGTGGAAGGTGGCAACAGTGGGAAGGTTCTAAAGACTGGGTATTGGTATTCTCTCAAGGTCCCTTCCAGTCTTGTAATTCAACGATTACTTGAAAACATATTTATGGTAGAGGTGTATACACCCAGATAGCACACCTGAGGGAAAATAATACTCTGGAAAACAGGGCAAGAAGAAAACTTTCAGTTCTAAATTGCAATGCCTATTGCATTACTGTGCCCCTACATTTAAAGTCTTCCCACTTTATCTGCTAATTGGGTTAATGTATACATTTTAGAGATTAGGAGGAAAGAGTATTACTGCACCACTGGACATTTTAATAATTATCTGCCCCTTTACTAAGTGGTTCATCTGGACAACCATACTGTTTCAGTTCTTTTTTTTTTTTTTTAACATTTTTCATTCAATTTCTTTCATTTTATGTCAAAGTCAGAGAACACAGAGAGAGAAAGAAATAGGGAGGCAGATGGAAAGAGATCTTCCAACTGCTGGTTCGCCTCTCAAATACTCAGGGCCAGGTGAAGCCACAGCCAGCAGCCCAGAACTTCACCTGGATTTGCCATCACCTGTCGCCTCACAGTGCACACACTAGCAAGAAGACAGACCAGACAAGGAGTAGCAGGAACTTGAACCAGGCACCTCAATATGGAATGCAGGCATGCCAGGCAACAACTTAGCTGTGCCAAATGCCTACCCTGTTTCACTTCTTAAACCTGGCTCCTGATATTTCATAACCATCAGCATTATCTGTCTAATTTGTGAGTTCATTCTCTGAACAGCAAGAAATCAGACTGGGGTAGATGTTGTGGTCTAGCAAGCTAAGTTGGTATGTGGGATGCCTATAAACCACACTGGTTCAAATCCTGGCTGCTCTGCTTCCAGTCTGCCCTTCTGTTAACGTGCCTGTAAAGGCAGTGGGTGAAAGTCCAAGTAGTTAGGTCTCTGCCAGCCACGTGGGAGCTCTGGATGGATTTCCTGGCTCCTGGCTGCAACCTGGTCAGACCCTAGCTCTCACAAGCATTGAGGGAGTAAACCAATGGGTTGGAAATGGATCTTCTCATCTCTCTGTCTTTTGTGTGTGCGTATCCCTCTCCCTTAGTAGCTCAACCTTTCAATTAAGTAAACAAATCTTTAAGAAAAAATAAATCATATCAACTGGCTTTTAAGAATTATTTACAAATTAAGAGTAAATAGCAGCAAGAAAAGTGTTCCGATAACTCTTGAGAGAATAAAATTGCCAAAAGTCCGCAAATCCATGAAAATGGCTTGTTTTGGTGCTTTCAAAGGCTGTCATTTCCCTTCCCCAATTCCTCCTGGGGTTTCTACCACATTCCTGAAATGGATGGGATTATTTAATCACCTTCATGATGTCCCATAATGGAATTCTGAGATGTCAATGTAACTAAATACATTTCTCAAATATAAGTTGGTTCATAAACTCCCCATTGTTTTTGCTATTAACCTCCCCGTATTAATATTATAATAAAAGCTATCATTCATGACATTCCTTTATGAAATATCATAGAATTCCAGGCACCAGGCTAGGCACTCTAAATATACAAGTGTCATTTATAACCTAACCACCACCATGTATCATAGAATAAAACAAGACGAAAATACTTGCCTAAATAACAAAAGAGAAAAAGAAAAAGCAGATTTAAGTAATAGCTACTCCAAACCCACAACAAGGAAGGACTGGAGGCAGGGTTCAAATCTGAGCTTATCTGACTTCAAACTCTACTCTTCTACATTGCAGGCATTTTAACATCTGCCCAAACTACAGGATATCAACACTTTCACAATGTTGCATTTCATAACGGACACTAGGCTGATGTTTCTTTATCATTACAATCCAAGTATCTCAAAGAAAATACGTTTTCATCATCCGAGTTAAAAACCCACTGAGGAAACAAAGCCAGGGGTGGCAGTGTAATACTTGATCTCAAATACAACATAATGCTTGCTTCTTGTAATACAACTGCATGACTCTGTCATGACCATAAAGCTTTTTTGTTGTTGTTATTGCTGATTTTATATGTCTACCCCATAGCAGGCTTTAAGAGAATGAGAATAACACACTTGACCAAGCTGTTAGATCTGAGGTCAGGGCTGAGGTCTCATGTATCTCTACAGATCTAAACCTTAACATGTGGTAGACCAACACCAAATGTTATCAGCTTGGGGAGAGACTTTCAAATGGGGCGTCTGCTAGATCTCTTAGCACGGCAGAGAAGGGCAGCTTTCGTCTGCAAATGAACTTCCTACCTCCCGGTCCTTGAGTTTCATGGCGAGCACCAGTTGACGCCTGTGGTTAGTGAGAGCCTCGCGGTAATTCCCTTTGGAGAAGAATGCAGAGCCCAGATTGCCGTGAGCCCGGCATTCTCCGGTTTGGTCACCTAAGTCAAGGAAAAAAAAAATTCTAAGTTATAGCATTAACGATAACATGTAATGGTCATCTTAATTTAAAACCACTCATTTACTATCTAAGATTCCACTTTTTTTTTTTTTAAAGTGTTTGTTTCTTCTACAAAAACCTGAGTTGGGAGTTAGGGTTTCAGGACTTAAATCTCTGGATGTCCGTTGTTATTATTTTAACATACAACCACTGTCAGGAACTAGGTGTCCTGGAAATGTGAGGTTAAAGACCTTGACACAAAGCAGCTGCCATTTGAATCTCCTCATTACTCCGCTAATGACTTTTGATTCAGAGCAATCACCAGCTTGTTGGTTCAGTTGTTTGACTCTAAACCTACAATCATATATTACCGCTTTACAAGTGGACTGATGGAGATTCCCCATGTACCTCCTCGCATGGCAATCCTGTAAAGTACTGAATCATCACCGCAATGACCAGGGAAATCGTAAGCCACTCCTGTTTTATACGCAAGGCAGCTGGAGCATAGAAGGAGAGGGAATTTGCCCACAGTTGAGCTAGGACGTGGCAGGGCTGGGATTTAAAAGTGACGAGTCTGATCCATGGTGCAAGCTCCTCGGCTCTACCCTGTGCAATCTCCCCAGACAAGAAGATGATGCATTCTAATGGGAGCCAAACTTAGGACGGAAGTTTCACCTAGCAAGGCTGTCACTGGCGATATTCAACTGTGAGTCCAAGTCTCCAATGAGGGCAGTGAGTATACTGATCCATATCTCTTGACCTTTGGAGACCTTGGAACTTTGTTATATAAAAAGCTGCAAAGACTGCAAGACTTTAAAACAGAGAACCATTCTAGAGACACACCCTTTTTCATTGCATAGGCTAGTCCCATTCGTGTCATTAAATGTTTGTATCCCGCCTGCACTGAAACAAAGGGAGGAGAGAAGCTGTAACTCTACCTAAGGTCTTGGCTACGTCCAAGTCCTGCTGCATATATCCAGTGCTCTTCTCTGTGTTGCCGAGAGACCAGTAAGCGCTGCTCAGGGCAGAGAAAACGGAACCTCTCAGCTTGAGACTGCAGGTGCCAATCTTCAGAGCAGCTTCTAAGACGACCACAGACGCCCCATGATGGCCAGCTGTCAGGAGTTCCTGCCCGACCACAGACACGACCACAAAGGGACTCTTGTCCAGTTTCATTTTCTGAAGTTGCTGATACGTGGGCTCGAGGGAGTCTGAAGAAACACAAAACAGGAGAATGTAGGATGATACACATGCATGTGCACACACAAACTTTGCTAGTATTCTTTAGATAATCATCATATCTTACCGTGGTCTATTTCAAGTAAAAAAAACTCTTCGAACTTTGAGTTGCCACCCTAACAGTCCTTTAACCGTCCCAGTTCAAGAGCTTCCACTTACTCCCTCTTACATAACTCCCTGTTTTATGTGGGCATATAACACACATCTCTTCTTACGGTCTTGGACGGCAATGCATCTCTTTCCCCGAATGGTTTCTCTCAGCCCCACTGCCCTCTCTAAATATCACAAGTATATCCCTCCAGTTCTACCTCCACGGAACAGTAACCCAAAGTCCTCCATTAAGTAAAGGAAGCTGGGTCAGAAGTGGAGGATCCAGGAATCAAATCATGAACTGGAACATGGGATGCAGCAATCCCAAGTGACAATTTAACAGTTAGACCAAAAATCTGATTTCCCTGGTCTTGGGTTTGACTTTTACAGCTAGGATTGATCAGTTTGGCCATTAAATACTTTATAATTGCCTATGCGTTTAATTTAAACTTTTTTTTCAGCTGAATCTGAAGTCCACTGTGGTCCTATTTAATAGTTTAACTACATAGCAACTGGCACAATGTGGAAACTCAGTAAAAAACAAAATAAGACTGAAGACGCCTCACCTTTGCCACACAGGTGAAAGTCCCTACCAGTTATATTTGGCGTTTGACAAATGTTAAATATAAATCTGAATGGCTATACTTATAAAATATCTATCATTCTAACGGATAACTAAGTCAGTGCCTTTTGCTGCTTGGAGACTAGGATGTCTGAATTTAAAATATTACCAATTATTGTAGTGATCACAAATGAAATGCTAAAGCAAGAAGATGAAAATTTTAAAAGCTTATTATCATATGATATTGTATTTAATTTCATTTTAAGACTTACTTATTGGGGCCTAGCTCAACAGCCCAGTGGCTAAATCCTCGCCTTGCATGCACCAGGTTGCTATGTGGGCACCAGTTCATATCCTGGCTTCTTCACTTCTCATCTGGCACCCTTCTTGTGGTGTAGGAAAGCAACACAGGATTGCCCAAAGTCCTGGGACCCTGTATCTACATGGACAACCTGAAGAAAGCCCTGGCTCCGGCTTAACTCCAGATAGGCTTAATTCCAGCTGTTGCAGCCACCTGGCGAGTAAATTAGCAGATGGAAGATCTTTCTGTCTCTCTTTCTCTCTGTGGATCTATCTTTCCAATGAAAATAAATAAATCTTAAAGAAATTATTTATTGAAAAGTCAGACTTAGAGAGAGAGTAGACACAGAGATCTTCCATCTGCTGGTTCATTCCTTAAATGGATTCAATGGTCAAATTGTGGAAGGGCTAACGCCAGTAGCCAGGAGCTTCTTCTGGGTCTCCCACACAGGTACAGGGGCCCAAGCACTAGGAAAAGCCTCCACTTCTTTCCCAGGCACATTAGCAGGGAGCTGAACTGGAAGTAGAGCAGCCAAGATCCAAACGAAGTGCCAGTGTCACAGCAATGGGCTTTACCTGCCCCTGCCGTGAGGTATTTTAAAGGACACAGAGTAGGAGTTAGCCACAAGCAGATTCATCCCACTTCGTTAGGTTTGAATGATGAACCTCCAAACTCCTCTTCTCCCTTCCTCCTCTTTTTAAACTTTTTCCTTTAAAGACAATTGCAGACCTATTAATGATAGTCCTATCATAGGATGTCATTTACAATGCACTCTTGTTAGCTTTCATGGAGAAGTATTTCACACTATTTGTTATATTATGCACCTATAAAGGGTCGGTCTCTTTAAAAACTCTTCAGTCTCCTAACCGACAATACTGCATTAAAACGTAATTTTTACAATTTATGACTTCAAACCTCAAGTCTCTACTAAGAACCTCTCATCTGAATCAACATAACCTTGGAAACCTTGAAACTTATTGGTGCCTAAAGCATTTTTTTCCTTCAATCAGGTCACTAAACAGAGAACAAAGAACATTTTTATACCTGTCAAGATGCAAGCAGCATGTAGTACCAGTAACTACCAGCTAACCAACAGTGCTAAATACAGGCACAAAAACCCAGGATTGCTAGGGTAGAAGAACAATGATACCATTGGCAGAATTTTGGTAGAGCCTAGTGATGGTTTTGGCAGCCAGAGATGATTATATCCGCTTCCCATTGATAAATTAGGAGAAGCAGAAACAATGCAATTTTAGAGCTGAAAAGATTCTGAAAACGTTTTCCTTTTAGAAATGAACTTGGGCCAGGACCAATACCAGAACCCCTTGTAGAACTCTGTGCCTAGGCTCCATGACACCATATGAGGGTAAACTTCTTAGTCAACAGCTGTAGGAACCATTCTTAGCTGAAAACACACTGAATGATGACCAGAGGGATTGGAAAACCTGGCCTTCAGATACACAGAGTTGTTCCCCAAAAGCTGCCTTGGGAAGGCAGTGCAGGTGCCACAGTGTGCAGTGTCGCCTCCGCCATCGCTGAACCCTGTCCTTGGAAATGGACTGCTGTCACCCACCACCACCAGAACTAACTCTGTGCCACCCTTTCTTCAGCTCCTGATTCAAAGGTGGGGTTCCAGCTGCAAAAGGAGAGTGGGCATATTACAAATTCATGCTATCAGTTTATGTAGTATAAATTAAGAAGCAGAAGATGGGGAATTCCTAAAATCCAGGAAGAACATTCAGCCCCAAGTGACTAATGTCCACCTAAGATATCGTGATATTGGTGATTTTTTTTTTTTTTTTTTTGCATAGCAACTGACCGAGTCAGAAAAACAGTCATTTAATTGAGCAGAAGAAAGAGAGAACATCGCAGCGGAAAGCACTGAAGAAAATATCTAAAAGATTCCCAAAATAAATCCTTAATTGTATAAGTACTCACTAGGCAAAACTGAAGAAACGAGAAGAAAAATATTGAAGTTCAATTGGTTGTGCAAAGGAAAGAGAATATAAGTCTAAACATAAATGTTAATATAAAAATGATGCTAGTATACCATACACAAGAATTTGTATGGGAGAGATTTTCTAGGACAACTGAAAGGCTGAAGGGAAGCAGCATCTGATTTCTTAAAGAAAGAGTGGGACTTCAGCAAATTCTTGCTTTGTCCAGAGAGGTATGTCCCAGACAAATACACCGGCAGAAGACAGAGACACGGAATGACAGAGAATGCTAGAAGGACTAGTCTGAACTGGCCGGAGAATACTTGTGGAAAAGCAGATGATAAAGGAGAAGGCATGGAGCTAACACTGAAGAGACTTGTATGTTAAAGCCACATGGCCTCAGCCTCCTCACCCTGTCAAACTCCTACTTTAAAACTAGCATAATAGTTACGGAAAGCCACATATGTGTGCATATTTGTGCACTTATGTAAGTATTAAGTAAACACAGATACATATGTAAAGTTTCTCCAAATAGTTCGTGAAAAAAATGAAATTCAAAGATGAGTTTATTTGGGTACAAAAATTTTTTGAAACCCCCTGTAGTGTTTCCATAGTACACATTTTTCATGAACTTTTTTGAAAACTCTTCATAACCATGAATTTTTAAAAATTGTACCAAAATTACCTTCTCATTTCCTACAAACTTTCTAAAGTACATGTACAGATGTACACACACATGTATATACATCTATATACACACATATCTATACATGGGGTAGACCAACAAAAAGCTCATTCACTGTGTGCAGATCAAGAACATTTTAAAAATATATATATATTTATTTATTTATTAGAAAGTCAGATATAAAGACAGGAGCAGACACAGAAAGGAAGCTCTTCTGTCTGCTGAATCACTCCCTAACAGCAGAAGTTGAGCCAATCCAAAGCCAGGAGCCAGGGAGCTTCTTCTGTGACTTTCACGTGGGTGTAGGCTGCCTTTGGGCCATCCTCTCCTGCTTTCCCAGGCCACAAGCAAGGAGCTGGATGGGAAGTGGGGCCTCCGGGATATGAACGGGTGTTCATATGGGATCCCGGTGCTTGCAAGATGAGGACTTAAGCCACTAGGTTACTGCACTGGGCCCAAAAACACTTTTAATGTCACTTTCTCTCTTTGTTCCGCATTTACTAACCGAAGTTAGCTGTTAAACATGTTTGTCATAAACGTATTAACATAAGGTCTTTGTTTTACTTTATAGTTTTAAAGATAGAGATCCCATCTGCTGGTTCATTCTCCAAATGTTTACAAAGTCAGAGCTGGGTCAGAGCAGAGACGATAGGAGCTGGGAACACAGGCCAGGTCTTCCATGTCTGAGACAGGCACCCAGTTACTCGAGCCAATATTGCTGCTTCCCAGAGTCAGACCCAAGCATTCCACAGTGGGATACAGATGTCCTAATTGCTAGGACAAATGCCCACCCTGGGAATTCTTTTTTTTTTTTTAATTGTGTATCTGATTGCTAATGATAGGATATTAGCAAGGGAACTAATTTGGTGACTTTCACCAAGTTAGGTTGAACATAGTTTTGGGAGTGTGTAGCTATCAGATGTTTTTCTTTATATAATCCAAGCACAATACATGAACCAGTCGACGCTAAATCAATTCCATAAGAACAAACTGTTAGATATTTCTGACATGCAAAACTTTAGCTTGTAGAAATGTAGTGGAGGCTGGCATTGTGATGGCTGGATATACTACCATCCCATATCAGTGTGCTAATTGAAATCCCACACTCTGTGCTACCCACCCAGTTCCCCATTTACCTGCCTGTGAAAGGAGCAGAAAATGGCTCAAGTGCTTCGGTCCCTACTACCCTTGAGGGAAAGCCAGATGGAGTTTCAGGCTTCTGGCTTCAACTGGGTCTAACTCTGGCTTTTGTGGACATTTGAGGAGTGAACCAGCAGTGGAATCTCTTTGTTATCTTCCTGACAAATACATAATCATTAAAAAATAAAAACAGCAGATGTTAACCTCATTCTGACCCACGTTTCATTTCTGAGAATATGCTGATGACATATTTATTGCAAAATGTATTGCTCAGTTTAAGTCTTTATAAGTATCTATATATGTCATGATATGACACAATGGGTTAATGATACAACAATCATACTCAGTAAATAAATACTGTATTTTGTTAGTGCACATTTCTGAACATGGTATTTACTACCCTTGAGCTCAATGGTAAAGTCTTCCTCTTCTGTCTACAGAAAGTAGGAAGAAATGTCACCTCGCCCTCCTTCCCTTGCCCACCCCCACGAAGTGCCAGACTCGGGTGTGAAAAGTGGCACAGCTGATATCTCTGTTCTCCTGCTACCAGGAGCAAGCAGAGCCAGAGTCAGGGCGATTCCCAGGGCAGGCACCAGATGCTCTGCATCCCGTGATGTGGGAGTTCTGGGGCGTTGGCCCCAGAGTCATGCTTGTTCACTCTACATGATAGAGGAGGCTCCCCCTTAGCACCAGCCCAGCCCAGAAAAGCTCCACTGCCATCCTGGGAGATCCGGATAACAATCGCACTGTAGCCCACAACTCTAGCAGTAAGTTCTGATTTTCCCAGTCCCACTAGCATCTCTCCAGTGGGCCTAGGCAAGATTTCACCTCTCCGGACTCAAATCTGCCAGGACAAAATCTTCTATATAACTGAGGTCATCCCACAGTAGGAGAGCAGTGGAATTCAGCTCATGTCCCACAGTCCTGAGACCAGAGCCGTGCGTGTTACGATCGACAGCGCCGGCTGCACACTGCCAGCGGGTCCTGGTCCTCAGGAAGGATCTATCTACAGCACGCAGTCCGAGAGCCACGGCGATTGGTGCCACAAACCCCAGCATCACTCGGGCTTGGCAGTGGGACAGAGCAACAGTCCCTTTTGTCTCCCTGCACACCAAGAACAAAGGCCCAGCGATCTCCATCCCCGGTCCAAACGCTCTGGACGAACGTGTGCACTGAGGATAGACAAGGAGGCAAAGGAAGCGTGAGCTGAACTTGACACTGGAGGGGGCGGGGGGGAACTTCTATACAACACCAATTTTCTGCCAGAAGCATTTCATAAGATCAACTGTAGAAACATAACACAGGTGATAGCCCACAAATGTAATAGTTCTTAGATCGCTGAGTTAATGTGAGAAGGGAAAAATGTACACAAGAGAGAACTCTCAGCGAGAAGCGGCCCTGGCATCATTACAGGAACAAATAAAGGTAAACTCAGTCTCAGGTGGTAATTATATGATTAAATCCATGGCTGGCAGTGACAGTACACTACGACTTCCAAATGTGTTTAACCAGTCTTAAGAGACAATGAGCTGACATGCTGAAAAGCTAACAGGGAGACAAGGAAGACTGTATAACTTTAAAAACCAAACATGGGAAAGAAAATGTCAATTTATATTTCTGCTCATTTCTATGTTTTCATTGATGATTGAAGGGAAACACATTACACGCAATAATGTAAATAAACACGCAGAAGAAGCAGCGTGACTCATGTTTGGTTTGTGAGCATGAGAGAAGCTAGAAAGGCACAGTAAAATATTTACTTCAGCTAGAAATACAGGCAACAGCAATAAAGAAACCAGTTTCAAAACAGAGTACTCACACAGGAACAAAGATACACAGGAGTACCTCCAGAGACTCATGGGAAATACACACTGTGAGAAAACTATGGATTTCAAAGTCTCTTTTTAAAAAGTGTTTTGTCTTTTTTTTTTTTTTTTTTTTAGATTTGTTTTTATTGGAAAGTCAGATACGCAGAGGTGAGGAGAGACAGAGAGGAAGATCTTCCGTCCGATGATCACTCCCCAAGTGGCTGCAACAGCTGGAGCTGAGCTAATCTGACGCCAGGAACCTCTTCTGGGTCTCCCATTGGCGGGTGCAGGGTCCCAAGGCTTTGGGCTATCCTCGACTGCTTTCCCAGGCCACAAGCAGGGAGCTGGATGGGAAGTGGGGCCACTGCGATTAGAACCGGTGCCTGCCTATTTGGGATCCTGGAGTGTGCAAGGGAAGGACTTTAGGTGCTAGGCTACCGCCCAGGGCCCAATTTCAGTCTTTTTTTTCATCAAAATAAATTTATTTTTTGACTCCATGTTTCGGTGAACATTCTAAAGTAACCTTCACATTAATCAAGCTTTGTCCTGTCTTATGAGAAATTCAATACTGAAACTTTCAAAAGATCCAACTACAGGAACGCTGTGTAGGTCAGAGGAGCTTAGTGGGCTCACAGAAGTACCTGGACTAGGGGGTTTTCTCTGCTGCATTCAAGCATCACAGCACAAACACAACTGGCATGCCAGGTGAGACCCGTGCGGGGAGTGACCCAGACCACAAGGCTGCACCAAGAGGGCGGAACTCAGCTGCAGGAGGCTGAGAGGGGCAGGAAGTAAAAGCGGCGACAGACTTCTGCAAATTACAGCCTTCAGACGAAGAGACAAGTCTTCAGACAGGATGGAGCACAGGACAACGCTGCCAAGCAACAGTCTCTACAGAAACACTGCCACCTGGAACAGGCATGGTGGTAAACGCAATGCTAAAAACAAATGAGATAAATTAAATTGCCTTCGGGGGAAGAAAATATTGAAGCGCTCCAGGCACCTGCCCTCTCCAGCCAGGGTCGGCCTTAGATCTCTCACTCCAACATGGGAAAGAAGGCGGCCCAGACAATCCTGAGGGTGACAACAGCTCCCAGCTTTTTTTTCCCCCCTGTGGTGTAGTGAGGATTTCCTTACAGTCATCTCAACAAATTGCTTCAAAGGCAAATGGTAAGTACGAATCTGCTGAGCTCAACATTTCCTCCGGTAAATTCTAAGGCAGCAGCAGAAACTCTTCTGAATAAAGAGGTGAGATCCTCATGAACTAAATTAAAAAAAAAAAAAATGTTCCATGTAAATCACGTGCAGTGGGGTAGAGAGAGGATGAGGAAATACTACAACAATGGAGAGGAGAGACAGGTTGTTTTTGTGGCTGCTGTCCACCCCCTCCTCCGTGAGCCCTGGAGCACCAAAGCGCATCTGCTCCAAGTCAGAGTTTATTAACAGCAGGTCCCCCAGTGGGAGAAGCCATTAGATTCCTACCGCAAAGACTCAGCTTTATATGGATTATAAAATCGTGTGAACAGAGGTATTCTCACCACCACTTTTTTTTTTTCTAAAACATGAAATCCCTAACTTGCAGGGAAAATATTTTTTTATAGCTATGGATAGCCGAGACCATATGAGTGCCATTTAGTTCATTAGACTTTCATTTAGCACATATTTTTGAGCCAAATACAATACTAGCCAGCATACTCAATAATGCAGACATTGTCGAAACTAGATTAAATATCTAATTATTCTGCCATCAAAACATTTAGTGCATTCTCTCACATGAAAAAAAAGTACAATTTCTGAGGCAAAGATAGACTTTTGACTGATAGAACCTGATGAATGTGAGAGGGGACTGGCTCTCTTCTGTGTGCCATGGGTCTGCCTTGGGGCCTCCATCCTTCCCCAGAGATAACCACTGACATACACTGCCAGTCACGCCTTCCCAAGGGCTCATTCCTCAAGACTCAATACTCCTGAAAATGAGGCCCATTTCTTTGGGGCCTTAGGACTCCTCCAACCTCCACAACAACATTTTTTTTTTTTTAATATATTAGTTAGTATAACACAAATGTGATGACAGGGAGAATGCAAATCAATGACTTATCTGTATTCTTTTTCTGTGCTTTTAATTCAGGGTAACCTATTTAAATGCTCCTCTGGAAAAAAAAAAAATGTTAGCACAGCCTCCAGTCAGATGCACATTTCCTTGCTGAAACATAAGGAATGTCCATTATCTTCCCTTATTTGATCACTTCTACAAGGCATATTGCCCATGTGAGAAAATAAATGTATCATTAGGGGTATCATAATTTTGAACTCATGGATCTATAAAAGAATAAGGATTATTTAAATAACCCTAAAGCTCAGAGCCGTTCATTCCTTTATCCACAGTCACTACCCTTTTCAGTTAATGAAAACTTTAAGAACATAATCCAGGTTCACAAACTTACAGGCCTCTGGGCAGTCCACCACGCTATTCTGCCTCATTAACATCAGATACCAACAGTGATTCTTGGTCTTCCTTTGTCTGAGAACTCAGATCTTAGCCATTCTGAGCATCCCTTAGTTTTCTGACCCCCCCAAACCTCAAGTCTAGAAGCCCACAAACAGATCAACATCAGACCAAGTACTTGCAGCATACTTACCTCTCATGGGAGATTTCATGGCAGCTTCTACCATCCCCACCAGAAGCTGGAGACTCTTGGGGTCTTGGGCCAGGCCGGAGGCAAAGGCTGCCAGCGCATCGGCATGACGCCCGAGGTACTGGAGGGCAACACCCTGTCGGAAGTATGCCTGGAAACGAAGGAGAGACAGAAAATGCAGGTTTTACTAGGCTCTGTGCAGCAACAAGTCTATGCTGATCGCTTGCTGGAAAAATAGGTCAGCAGAACTAAGATGGAGATGTTCTTGTTTACAAGACCCAAATGGACGGATCTCTTTATAGGTCATAACATGTAACCATTTTCTGTTTAGGCAAATTCTATTTCAAACCACCACTCTTCACTTCCAGGACACTTGGTGATTTGATCACATTCTTTTGCACTTATCAACCTAACCGCTTTTACTGTTTTTTTTTTTTATGTCTTTCTAATATCATTTATACCATCAGTTTGCCCAAAATGTCCCATATAATGCCAAATAAGAGTCCTCATCTTATATTTCATATTCTACTTTTATTCCAATTTAGATTCTATTCATTTTGTATTTTCCACCTCACATAATTAAATGAAGGGGGGAAAAATCAATGTATGGTTACTATTGTGATCATTTTAATAGTGAGTAATATGACTACATATTTCTAAAGTGCTGCTTCAGATATATTTAAGGCAACTTCCTAAAACATGTGTGTTTTGCTTGGAACAACGACAACAAAGATTGTTGCCCTTTATGTTCTTTAATTAGACCAGCTTAAAAACGAGAATCAGCATATGTGATTATAAGAAAACATTCCTTCTTCCAGCAAACTGCAAAAAGGGCCAGGGAACTAATGAAATGTTTAAATTTAGAATTTAAATATTTAAATTGTAGAGCAGTTTTAAGAAACTGCAATTTGTAAGTACACAAAGCAAAATCAAAAAGGTAAACAAACTCCTTATTAGTTTGTAGTCAGCAAAAGACTTTGCACATTTAAATGCCATGTTGTTATATATTCATTCTTTAGATTACAATATCTACTCCTGGAGTGCTTGGCCTCCCAGTCAACTTAGATGCAGTGTGGCTCACAATCCTGCTTACAATACAACCTTAACTTGCTTCAGTCCAACATACTTGGAAGCTCTCAAACTATATTCATGGGCTCTAAATGGGTTTTCCCACTCTTAAAACTGCTGTTCAGTAATCTTAACACATTCTATAACGTTATATTACACAGTCATTCCGTCAAAGAGTAAGACAGAGGCCACTCCTCCTGTTGACTAAATATACTTATTTACTTTATTTCATGTGTATGATAACTCTGAGGTAATTTAAGATGGGAAGCACCATTTAGTGTTTCTATTAACAAACAATTCATAACCAGAATGAATACTCAAATTATTATGAACTCTTCGGGCTTCTATTAGTTTAAAATGCCAGCAGCTGTTTAACTTGGACCCTGGGAAGACGACAATAACCTGTGAACGCACCCTCGTTACTAATTCATAAGACCGTTTCCTTCCACTGGATTCAGCTACCCTTTTAATATTTAATATGTTTACAGCCATTTTTCATTACCCTTTTCAATTCGCATTTCAGGTGATTCCTATAATCCAAGAGGCTATACACAGCCCATTCCAACTAAAAATAACTGTAGCTTGCATATGTGTAGAAATGCTAATATTAAAGCTAAACTCTCTCTCTCCACACATACCAAATGCCTATAAACTATAATTATTACTTATGGATGGAAAGAAAAGATGTCTATGGTTATTGGTTTCAGGTACGGATGGAAAGAAACACAAACATCTTACATGAGTCTCAATGAGATGCAGTGCCCTGCGTCCCGAAACCCAAACTTTACCACTCATTACTTAACTGAAAGCAACTGATTTCCCTGTGTTCCTAATAATAATAAATAAATGAATACACACACACACATAAAAAGTGTAACTGGCCAACCCTTTAAAGGCAAAATATTTTAAAAAAAAATTTTTTTTAAAGTCCAAAATCCACACACACAGCTCAAAAAGCAGTTTCTTTTCCCTAAGGAGGAAAACTAAGAGCAGATCTTGCCTTCCACAGTGTGACTTTCTTTCTTCTAGAGATTTTTAATAGAGGTGCAGTTGAGAAGATTTAAAAGCATTTCCTGGGTCTCCGTGGTGCTCTTTCAGAACCCCCAGTGCTTCCGTGTAATATTTTTATCAGCTAGAAGCTTGCAGCTATATCCTATCAACATAGTACAACGAGTCCAGCTCTGACAAACCCCAGCTACAAACTCAAAGTGAGGCTCATCCAACTTCTGTCCAGGATCTACTCAGTCCGTGCACAAAGAGCTGCTGAATAAAAAGTTAACTGACTCCACTTTCGTAAAAGAGATGTCACTGTGGAATTCAAGCTGAAAACGAAACCTAGGTCATGCCTGCTATGATTACGTAAAGCAAATTCAGTACGGTACTTGATGGCGTAAATGCTCAATGAAATCAGCCACTTGCATTATCAGACAATGATAAAAGAACGTAATCAAAGACTAACAAAATACAACACTTTAGATTCCCTCCTCCCCTCCCTTGCTTCATAAGACAGCTTAGCAGGGATGGGTGTTTGACCAGCAGGTAAGACTCTCCTGCCAGCTCACACCCACCGTGGGCTCCTATCTCCAGGTCTCTGCTGACACAGATGCTGAGAGGCAGCAGTGATGGCTCAAGGGGCGGGGTTTCTTCCGCCTCCATCAAACACTTGGGCTAACTGAGTTACCAGCTCTAAGTTTCATCCAGCCAAGTCTCAGCCTTCGTGAGCATTTGGGAAGTGAACCAGCTGATGAGGAACTCACTCAGTCTCTATGTCTCTCACTGTGTGTGTGTGTGTGTGTGTGTGTGTGTGTGTGTGTGTGTGTGAGAGAGAGAGAGACAGAGAGACAGAGAGACAGAGAGACAGAGAGACTCAAATCTGAGGCAAAATAAAACACTGCTAGCAACTGGACACTGTACAATAGAACCCTGACTGCCGTCACGACTCACAGACAAAACCTAACCAAAAGTAAGTGGTATTACCAAGTCTCAGGAGACACAGAAGCCACCCCACAACCCTCCTTTGTCCTCTTTTGAAGCAAAGCTCAAGATGAGCTGAGACTGAAAGCTGTTTACCACAGCTTCAAGAAAGTAGATATGACAGGTTGGAGCCTATCTGCTCCTCCCTTCCCTCACCCCCGCCACTCTGGGTCCTGCTATGAATCTCTCACTTAAAACAGGTTTCACAGGAAACTACTTTCTCTGGGAGAGGGTACATTTTGACCAATTAAGAGAAAGTATACATACTGTATGTCGAGGCAAGTGGGAGCATTGTTGAATTCCAGCATTCAGGGAACCTAGGATAGACCTCTGCCTCTCTCTCTCTCTCTCTCTCTCTCTCTCTCTCTCTCTCTCTCTCTCTCGCATCAGACAGGCACCTCATGAATACATACATCTGATTAGGCTTTGAGGTGTATTTGTTTTTGTTATGGACAGAGAGAGGTTATCCAGAACAGTAGCATCCTACACAACTTTCTAGAAAGACAGTAGCACATGCCATGAAGGTAGTCTTCATGGCAGACTATCTTGTCACAGGGCACTTGAAATATGGCCAATGTAACTCAGAAAACCAAACCTTAAATTTTATTTCACTGAATTTCAATATTTTATCAGACAAGACTGCTGTAAAGTTTGGTCTTTTTTCTAACAATAACTCCAGGAACACAAATCTAAATGGGGGAGAAAGTCCGATGGCATATACTGTACAAGTTAAGTCATCACAGAACCTCTGCAATGAGCTCTCTGTGCCTGACTCCTGCAGGTACTGTGGTACAGAGCAGAGCACTCCAGGGCTCACAGGACACTTGTCCCAGTTCCTTTCTTTCTTTTTTTTTTTTTTTAAGATTTCTTTAATTTTTATTGGAAAGTTCAATATACAGAGAGAAGGAGAGACAGAAAGACCTTCCATCCAATGATTCACTCCCCAGGTGACCTCAACGGCCGGTGCTGCACCTATCCGAAGCCAGGAGCCAGGAACTTCCTCCAGGTCTCCCACACAGGTGCAGGGTCCCAAGGTTTTGGGCCGTCTCCAGCTGCTTTCCCAGGCCACAAGCAGGGAGCTGAATGGGAAGTGGAGCTGCCGGGATTAGAACTGGTGCACATATGGGATCCCAGCATTTCAAGGTGAGGACTTTAGCCTACACCCGCGTGGGAGACCTGGAGGAAGTTCCTGGCTCCTGGCTTTGGATCAGCTCAGCTCCAGCCGATGCAGAGCCACTTGGGAAGTGAATCATTGGACGGAAGATCTTCCTCTCTGTCTCTCCTCATCTCTGTATATCTGACTTTTCAATAAAAATGAATAAACAATCTCTTAAAAATTATCATAACAGGCTTTTCTGAGGTTTAACCCTGACACCTCCTTTAGCATTGAAAAGCACAGCATTGTCATATCAGACTATGAGTCATCCAAATATACATAGATTGTTATTTTGCTAGGTGTTTCCACAGTTTACCACTGACTGTTCCAGTATCCAGCAAGAAGTTCTTACAATGACCATTGTGCAAGGTTAAAAAACTTAAAAACTTAACAAATGTCAAATCACACAGCTACAAAATAAAACAAACCTCGTGCATACTCTTTCCACAATTCCAAATTGCATTTCTTTAAATTAAAGATTTATTTAAAAAGCAAAGCACCAGAGAGAGTAAGAGAGGGAGACAGGAAGAGAGACAGAGAGAGGGAAGGCGAGAGAGAGAAAGCTTGCATTCACTGGTTCGCTATCCAAATGGCTGCAACAGGCTGAAGCTAGAAGCCAGGTATTCCGTCCTAGTCTCGGGGGCAAGCACTTGGGCCATGCCACCTGGCCTTCCAAAGTGCATTTAGCAGGAAGCTGGATCAGAAGCAGAGCAGCTGGGACTTGAGTCAACGCTCCACTATGGAATGCTGGTGTTTTCAGCAGTGGCTTAAGCCACTACACCACAAAGCTGGCCCCTCTTTGATAACGAAAAATAATAATGTTATGCCATTTGCCCTAAATCAGCTTTGTGTCTAGTAATTGTGTGTGTGTGTGTGTGTGTGTGTGTGTGTGTGTGTGTGTGTGTGTGAGACTCAACCTACGGAGGCAGAGAAATGAAGGGAAATCAGAAATG